CCCCCCCACACACACACCCACACTCACACTCACACTCACACACACACACACACACACACACACACAATACAAGATCACTATATGGACTGTTCACTGTAAGACTCCACCATAATCCATTTTGAAAAGTGACGTAATGCAAAGTGGAGTCTTACACAAAGCTATCCATATACATAACAAATGGGCACACATAACCACCACTGCTATCACTATCATTGTTTTCCTCGTCAGAGTCAGTTCAACCTCTCAGTACCCCAGGAACCGGCCCTGCCTAACTTCTTCACACCAATCGACTCCGTGGACGTGTCTGTGGAGGTCTGCGGACTCAAGTTCCCCAACCCATTCGGCCTTGCTTCAGCTCCACCCACAACCACCAGCCCCATGATCAGAAGAGCCTTTGAGGCCGGCTGGGGGTTTGCTCTCACCAAGACTTTTGCGCTGGATAAGGTACTTAGCTTATTTTGTTTTTATTTTTGTTTTTAAATCATTGTTGTTGTTGTTGTTGTTGTTGTTGTTGTTGTTGTTGTTGTTGTTGTTGTTGTTGTTGTTGTTGTTATAGATGATATTGTTGCTTTTTGTTGTTTGTTGTTGTTGTTTTTGTAGATGATATTGTTGCTTTTGTTATTGTGGTTGTTGTAGTCGATTTTGGTGATGGTGGTGTTGATGTTGATGTTGATGTTGTTGCTGTTGTTGTTGTTGTTGTTGTTGTTGTTGTCATTTCCTTATAAGAAAAGAAATCATGACTTTGAACATCATTAATTTATACATGATCCGTTTTTTCTTAAATGTTACCAGGACATAGTGACCAATGTCTCCCCGCGCATTGTGAGAGGGACAACAAGTGGTCATCTGTTTGGCCCATCTCAGGGCGCTTTCCTCAACATTGAACTGATCAGCGAGAAGACCGCTGCTTACTGGTGCCGCAGTGTCTTTGAACTCAAGCGGGATTTCCCAGACAATGTATGTATCATTTATATATGTATGTATGCACAGGGGACAAAGATTGGTCTAACTCAAGTTTTAGGAGTTTTCAGAAAAATGGGATTTTGTATCTTCAGAAAAGTTGCAGTTATGAATCAAATGTTCCAGTGGCTAAGTGAGTAGTGAGTTTTGACTCAAGCAATGTCAAGCAAGTGTCGGTGACACGGGGATCAGATGGGTGGTCACTGGGGTGTGTCCTTGAGCAAGACTCGACAACCCTAGCTCAAAATACAGGGCGCTGCACAGTGGCGACCAACAATGGCATTGTTTGTAAACTGTTCTGTATATGGGTAATAGTGTGTATTTATGTATGTATTTATGCATGTAAGTATTTATGTATGTACGTATTCATAATTATGTATTTATGTATGTGTGTTTGCCATTGTAAAACAAAGTGCCCTTCTGGGACTAATAAAAGTGTAATTTATTATTTTATTATTATTAAATGTTCATTCCTATTTTCAGAAAATCCTTCAAACTAGCAGCATTGTAGCATTTATTTGATGAAAATATATGACTGAGTTTTGTTCTGTTTTACTGAACTAAAATTTGAGATAGACCACACTTATAATTGCCAAGGGCAGATTAGCACCTTTAAAAACTGTGAGCCGTTGGCCTCCATCTTAAATTGTTGCCGCAAAGTGTGGGGAGATGCATTTACTTTTATCCCTAAGGCTGGGGGCTTCTTGTTTTAAAATATAATTTTATTATGCTATATTACTTCAAAGCGTTCGTATGAAAGAAAAGGATAAGATATTTTTTTAATATGTGGCAGTACACTTTGATTTTGTTGAACGCCTCCTGTTTGTGAACTTAAATGTTAATGTTATTGTCACTTTCCAGAAGAAAAAAAAAGAATCTCAATCAAAATCTGCAACGGTCCACCATTTTCATTTAAGAACACTATCAACACCCACTCCATCATCCGATGCCATTTAGGTCTATAATTATAATGTTGGCAAACAACGTAAAATACCCAAATACATAGTCCACTTTATGAACAGTTCAGTCATTACTAAAAATTTCTTACTGCTATATTGCATATAGTGATATCTATTTTCTATGTGGCACTTTGTCAAGCACCTAATCTTTATATTTCATATTATATTTCCACATAATATGTGGATCCAATTTTTTTTTAGGTTGATGAACTGGATTTTTTTAAAAGACGAAGTAGACCACTTTTCTATAGAACTCCTCAGAATCGAACCCTCGATAATGCATTCCCATGCCTGCCCCTCCCTATCTTGAACAAGACCCTAAATCTTCCTCTGTTTCCCAGATCCTCATCGCCAGTATCATGTGTGCTTACGACGAGGCTGACTGGACTAAGCTGGCTCAGATGGCAGAGGTAAGTAACTGCAAAACAGCACAACAGCACAGGGAGATTAAATAACCTGTGTAGTTTTGCCCGACTAACATCCAGCAGAGATTGTTCTAGATGGAACTATAAGCGGAGGAACTTTGACATGGATCATGAGGAGAATATCCTGTCTCCAATGGTTCAAACCTTATAGACAAATGTATAAAGTGACGGCAAAGAAAATTCAGTTTGGTTGGCCTCTGTGGTGCTGATTTACAGGGCCCGTTGCACTATCGAGTGGATCTTTTATGCCGTTCATCTTGAATGATTTTTAGGCCTTTGATTTCAATTTAAAAATCCTCAATCTGCGGAGAATTGCACCAGCACCTAGAGTATTTTTTCCCTTTATTTCTCTTCTTAGCAGTGTCTGTATTGCTGTGGCTAGGCGCACATGAAAGAGATGAATTCCATTCCCGTGTGGAGTATCTTCATTTGTCTGCTGGAACCTTATACCTTCGAACCTGGGTTGGCCCTGACAGGCAAGACTTCTTTCCTATGAAACACTTATCGTCCTTATCTCTCCTACTTCTTGGATTTGTATGTTACTTCTAATCTTTGGCACTTACACGACCAATTCTGTTAGAAATGACCTAAGATTCTTACTTAAAATAAAATGAACCTTGCCCTTATAGGGTTGTGATTTTCTATTCCTTTCTCCCAGAACGCAGGTGCTGATGCTCTGGAGCTCAACTTATCCTGCCCTCATGGCATGGGAGAGAGAGGCATGGGACTCGCTTGCGGGCAGGTAAAATACAATAGTATCTTTATGATGTACTGATATTTCCTTAGACCTCATTGTCCTACTGAAGTCAAGTGTGTTGTTCGATCATTTCTCTATTAAATTAACCTTAGCCTACCCATCGGGGGATCGGACGAACCTATACAATGCTTTATTTTTATATTATAAGGTTGGGGTTAGGGATGGATTAGATTAGATAAGGGTTAAATTAGGTTTAGGTTGGAATTTCGCAACGTTTAGGGTTAAAGTCTTAGTATTATCTGAATTTTTTAAAATGTTATTTTGTTTCTAAGCTTTTAGGTTCACAGAGCTCCTTTTTATGTAACACTAGGTATCAGTTCCAACAGTGTCAATTTTTGTTGGCTCCTCTGTGATAGTCAAAAGAACGAAGGCCAACATGTTGCTTCATTCTCAGTAGAGATATCAGTTGTGATTTTATTTTTCTCTCCCTTTCTGCAAGGATCCTGAGTTGGTACGGAACATTTGCGCATGGGTTCGTGAGGCAGTGAGCATCCCATTCTTTGCCAAACTAACACCAAATGTGACTAGGATCGTTAGCATTGCCCAAGCAGCTAAAGAAGGTGAGGATCATCCTATGTTTTCCGATCAAGATTCACTGACTATGAAATATGATGGATTTTAAAAAATTAAATTACTATCTATTAGTGTATCATTTAAACTTCCCCAACCGAGAACTGAATTGATGTCTTCTGCATGCAAATGCAGAGAAGCTAACCATTACATAACAGACATGGTAAAAATGTTCATATATGTACTCGCTGTCTCATATTTACAACTTTTCTCCTCAACACAACTGTGATTTAGTGGTTAGGCACTTCGCCATCACTTGTAGACGACCCAAGTTCGATTTGTAAGTGAAGAGAATTCTTTTTGAGTGTCCCATTCTTTCTGCTGGTACGTTGTGTCCATCCCAGCCTGGGTTGGTCCTATTAGGTGGGGTTCAGGCCTGCATCCTAAATGATTTAAGTTGTGTTAATACTACCTATCACGATGGCCATTTCTGTCTTTACAGACGAATGATCTTAAAGCAATTTGCCTGATGAAGCTTTGTCTGTGAGGTAGACAAAGGAGGACGTAGATTGCCCAGTATTACTTCCGTCCTTTAAGATCTTGACTTCCTTTATATAGTGTTACATGGGAGAGGCATGGTCAATACATTTGAAATCAAGAAAAGTGTAAGAGTGTGTCTCACTATTTTACGGGTGCGATAGGGATATTGCAGTAATGAATTTCTTTACTATTGAATTGTATCAGTGGGGAGTAAAAACCACTCACATTACAACATGATTCAACCCAACAGGTGGTGCTGACGGTGTGACGGCCACAAACTCCGTGTCGGGATTGATGGGGCTTCGAAACGACGGCTCAGCCTGGCCGAGTGTGGGCAAGCAGAAGCTAACCACCTATGGCGGTGTCACCGGAAACGCCATTCGACCAATCGCCTTGCGTGCTGTCACCGCCATTGCTAAAGCATTGCCAGGGTTCCCGATCTTGGCCACAGGTGGTATCGACTCTGCAGATGCTGGCCTTCAGTTCCTGCAAGGAGGAGCGTCTGTATTACAGGTATTACACATGACTAATTACTTCTACAATCTCAATAATGCATATTGCCATCGGCATGCTCATTATCAAAGGCCTTTCATTAACCGGAGAAAAGGGCCGTAGCTTCTTTGGGTAGTTGTGGGTGTGATTTTTTTTGTTATACCTCTTTGATATCTTTTTTATTTTTCCCCAGCTTTAAATAATCGTTACATCTATCATGCCGATGTTTGTCTCTTTAAGTGACAAAATATCAACTAAAATTGTAACTTCTGCCTTTTCCATATTCATTTAGGTTACTGTTGTAAATACAGCCTAAGACTAACACAGTGAAGAAAATTGCGCACAATATACACCGTGAACAAAATTGTGAACAATATACACCGTGAACAAAATTGAGAACAATATAAATAATATATAAGTCGTTATACAATCGAAATTTGGATGTGTATGTGTTTCCAAATTTGTTAAAATTAAAGATGGTGAGATAAAATGAACGAACGAATTGCCACAGAGCAAGCCTGGTGAATATAAAAGACAGTTTTTGCATCAAGTATTGTTCCTGCGTTCACTTCCTAAAAGAAATGAATGAGATATCTTTATATTCCTTGAAACAAAGGGCCCTTCTAAATTTAAGTTAACATTTACAAGAGTGGTCGGAGTACATATCAGTAGCATATCACACACACACACACACACACACACACACACACACACACACACACACACAC